GAATGATTCTGAAAGCGTATTTATAGACTCTCCCAGGAGCAATCCTTAACAATCAACATCGAAGTAACAGAGTATCAAAATTTTTAAGAACGTTCCACAATCTTTTGGTCACCACCATGGAATTAATGGAAAATGACTTTTCTCTCTTACAGAGGCACAAGAAAAAGTAAAGTAGCCCTTACTGATAGATTTGGCCAAACTGCTCTCAAAAAAACAGGCCTCCTTAAAATTAACAAAAAGGGCACAGGGGGATAAAGGGCATGAGTACCCACTAGACACAAACTCTTGCCTGAGGAGCTCCAAAACTCTTATTTCACTATTTTTAGGACAGGAGAAAGATAATGCAAAACATTCTTTATGAAAGTGAGGAAAACGGCAGTATGGTAGGTCTCCAAATGCTCAAAGAACTGAATGGCCAAAGTCTCTAGAAGTATGAAGAGGGAGAAATGGTTTGCCCTCTAGACTCAAGAGTGACTTCATGAGATAAAGTGGCTTCCAAACTGACTAAATTGTTAACCCTGGGACACGAGGTACCAGGCCACAAAAAAAATCTTGTTATAATTATCAGCACTGGAAATAAGCCATGATGATAATTAATAACAATTATCATTTACTAAATGATTTTGTGCTGGCATAAATACTTTGCCTACAGGGGGAAACTAGAAGTTAACTCCTCTGCCTGCCAAGAAAAAGGATTAGGACTCAGGTCCCTCTACTTAAGCTCAAGAAAGCTCATATAGACTGTGTTATACTGCCTCCTACAGGTAATCAAAGGCTACAGGGCAATGAAAAAAATGATTAACTGCCCATAGGAGGAAAGGTCAGTTCTTGAACCTGTCACTCATATTAACAAGACAAAGAGATTCTGTAGGTGGTACCTGGGGTCAGTCTCAAGGTAATACCCTAAACTAAGGTTATTTAGAATGAAAGTAAGAGAAATAATTAGGATCAATTCAGAGTAGAAACATCCAAAATCCAATCAAAGGAGCCAATAAATAGCATTAGACTAACATAACTTACTAAGTCATATTATTCTCAACCTAATGAGAGAATGTCCTAAGAGAAAGAAGATGGTTTGCAAGAAGGGAGCTTCGGTGGGGGCAAAGGGTAAGGGAGAGATTACCCTCAAGTGCAGAAAAGGTTTTACCTAGGAATGAATTCCCTAGTCCAGATACATGCCTAGGGGAGAAGATACACCATACTAAGTCTATCATAAGGTTACCCAACTAGTTCCCCTTCCTCTAATTTCAGGTTCACTAAGCAGCTAATTCTATTTTGCATTCCCATTCGGATTTGCCTACATGGAGAGACTGCACTGAGACGAGTAACTGGTCCACGGCGTATGAAGAAAATCCATTCTGACTTTCTTCTTAAAATTTTTAAAATAACCAACTTACCAATATTTAGAAAAGCACATTTTCACTCTCACAAGCCTTCCACCTCTATCACCTTACTCAGTAACTTCGAGAATACATAACCCTTTAAAGCCTCTAGACTCCTCTTCGGCAAAATGGGAACAAATTCATTACTTGCCAGCGTGAGAGAAATGTGCGTTTGGCATACAGAAGACAAGTCTGGCACTCCAATGCCCAAGCTCACAAAGCTAGTAATTGCAGAAAGCTGAGATCTGAACCTAGATTTACTCTAAAACCCATCCTTTTTTCCATTGCAACATTCCTTATAGACGCTAGTCTCATTTATCACCGAGAACTGTTAAGATTTGGGACAATTTACTCAACCTTCCTGGGCCTTTTATCTTTAAGTGACCTTCCTTCTAGGGCTTAGGCAACTAAAAGTTGTGCAAAAACTGTTGCCATTGCCCCCTGAGAAAAATAACCCTATGGTTTAAAGTTAAAGCCTCAACTTCTGAGACACGTCTGTGCCATCGGGTTATTAGATAGTACCTATTTAACTCCAGTCGAAGTGTTCTAAACAGCAAGATCACTCCAATAAACACACAAAAGGACTAATATCTGAAAGGTGACTTTCTAAAATCAATGACTACCTACCAGTACAAAAGCATGAATTCCACCCACCACCACAGGTTGCCTAAAAGTCTTAGAAGGGCCTATCAACATCTGCTTGGCTTGAAAAGGGATTACCAAAATGGTAAGGCTACTATCTTTAGACTAGAAATATTAAAATAAGAGCTAAGAAGAACTAAAGTACAGCTTGCTTGTTTTATAACTAAGAACTTGTGATTTCAAGGAGTTTGGTAAATATATTATCTAACAGTCCGAATCAAACTACTTGATACAAACAACTTTACATTAAACATTTCTAATGTGCTAACTTTAAAGTAAATTACTTGTATAAGGAACTTTTTGAAAGGGTGGGACTACAGAAAATTTCAGCACAGAAATCTGAGTAGAAGGAAACATGTAAAAATCACCATAATTTACCCAAAGCATGCCTTTGGTTTCTTAAGAAAAGTTAGTTTAACGGAGATGAATTTAATAAAATTATTCATGAAAAAGGAGTGATATCCAAATAGCTTCCTCTGTAATTACATCCTGCTCTCATATTTCACATTATTCTGGCCTAATACAAAGAAATATCTCGTTTGGATGTTCTCCTAGAAGGGGTAGCGTCAAGGGTTAAGGAAATTGTTTAATTCATTCTTCAAAGTGTTACCAGATTTGACTTCCACCAGCAACACTACAAACAAGCAGCTTTTCTAAAATCACAGCTAATAACATTTTGACCACAAAGCCAACCTTAAAGGGTTTTAAACCTTCAACCTCGCTTTCTTAAACTTTCCTTTTGATTCAACCTGATGGGCAACGAAATCTGAGTCAAGGAAAAAAAAAAAACACCTCACCACTACGATTAGAAAATTGTCATTCCATCCATCTCCCCTCAACCCCCACAGATAACTTTTTGAAAACTTGTTCTCAGGCTTTCTAAACCCCCACACATAAGCTTCCTACACCTCTTCCCCAACAGGAAAGGATGCCTGCACCCAGGAAAGTGGTTTTAACTGATAAACCTTTCCCTAAAAGATCTCAAAAAGTAGAAGCAGTATCTACTCTACCTGGGCGTTGGCTTCGTGGAGTTTGTGCTCGGTAGAGACGTGGTGCCTCAGAAGGAGGGTTTTCTTGTAGTTGCGAGTCCCTCGCGAAAGCTCGTCGTGCCCTATTTGAGGCAGGTCCCCGCTTCCCCCATCCTCGGGGGTCTTTTGGCACCAGCCGCAAGACATTAGGCCAGTATCCTTGGAATACCGCAGCCAGGGAAAATCTTTGAGCCAAGAGGTCTGGAAGGAGCACTGTAGCTTCTGCATTAGGGACTTGGGCCGCGCGAGCGGGAATTGCTGGACAGTCTCTCCTTCGCCAACTCCCACTCCGCTGCCCTCCGCTTCGTCCCCGCCATCGCCGCCCGACCGCCTGCTGCTGCTGCAGCTGCCACCTTCCGCCCCGCTGCCGTCGCCCAGGCTCGCCCCCTCCTCTTCGTCCTCGGTGCTGTCGCTCAGGGACGCGCCGTCCGGCATCAACTCTTTCCCCTCCAGCGCGTCCAGCTCCAGCTCCACGGCCGCGGGCCCTCGGCCATTGAAATGCCTTAGGGGCCACGCCGAGGTCTCG